TTTTAATTTTTTAAAAATAAAAAAAAAAAAAAAAAAAAAAAAAAAAAAAAAAAAAGAATAAACATAAAGGAAAATATGAAAGTAAGATTAAATGAAAAAATAAAAGAAAATACATATTATGAATATGCTAATAAACATAATACCTATAATATTGATGATGTAGTAGATATAATAAAAGTAAATCCATTTTATAAAAAATATGGTGATTCATGTTATGTGGAAAAATGTAATTATTTTGATATAAATAATAATAATCTTGAACAAAAATTTTTAGGAATATTAAAAAAGGAAAAGAAATATTTAAAAAATATATTACAAAAATATAATAGAGAAGAAAAAGGGAAGGAAAAATGTGAAAATGAAAAAGATGAAAAGGGTTTAATGTATGTATATAAATTTTGCCATAATATTCTAGAAAACAAAGAAGATATTAACAAATCAAAAGGGTATATTATTATAAATAAAAATAACATTATTAAAAAAATATATATATATGAATTAGGTGAATTACTTACAGAAATCATATACATAACATTAACAAAAGATGATATAGAAAACGGTTTATTAATTTTATTGGGAGAAAAATACTTAGATTTCATAATTAATATTATTAAAAATAAAGAAGATATAAGGAAAGATATGAAATTATTAAGTAAACAAGTAGATATAAAAGAAAATACTTTGGTGGCTAATTTTTTTATAACTAATAAATTATCAAAGAAAGTAAAAAACCAAAGTGCTTTAAATAAAAAGGAAAATATTACAAAAATAATAGATTACTTTTTATATTCTTTAAAAGAAAGCTGTCTTGAAGAAGTTAAAAAAATTTACATACCTAATGAAGATGATAAATTGGAGGAAATCAATGTTCCGAAGAATACTATATATACTTATTCAGATAATTTTACAAAAGTAAAAATTAATAGATTAGAAAATTTACAGTTTGATAAGAAGGATTTAGTATCAGTAAATATATTACCTTTTTGGTGTAAGTATATTTTTGATTTTGAATATTTTAATTATATTCAATCAAAAGTTTTTAAGGCAGCATTTCAAACTAATAAAAATTTATTAGTTTGTGCTCCAACTGGATGTGGTAAAACTAATATAGCTTTATTGGTCATATTGCAACAAATTATATTATTCTGTGAACAAAATAATATTAATTTAAATAAAATTGTAAAATCCTACTTACTTAAAAATAATATTAATTATCAAGAGAACAAAGAAGAAAAAAATGAAGAACAAGAAAGAACAAAAAAAAATAAGGAAAATTATGATAATCAAAAAAATGAAAAAAATAACATGAGTGATTCATTTAAAAAAGATGATAAATGTGAAGATGATAAGGATAGCCGAGATGATTACAGTACTATAAGTGATAAAAGTAAAAAATTTTTTGAGGATAATATTTCTTCACATAGTTACTCCGATAGTACATCCTTTAGTAATTTAGATAATAAAGAAATCAAAATAAATTCTAAAGAGTTTAAAATAATTTATATTGCACCCATGAAATCATTGGTATTTGAAATAACCAATTTATTTCAAACAAAATTAAAAATATTTAATTTAAATGTTTGTGAATATACAAAAGAGTATTCTTTGTCATCAAAAGAATTAGAACAAGTGCATATAATTATTACAGTTCCTGAAAAGTTGGATATACTTTTAAGAAATAGTAGTTACTCAACTACTGTATCTGATGAATCATTAATTAAATATATCAAATGTTTAATACTTGATGAGGTTCACTTATTAAATACAGATAGAGGAGATGTAATTGAAACGATTGTTGCTCGTTTTTTACGATATTCAGAGACTTCTCAGTCAGTTAGGAGAATAATGAGTATGTCTGCTACTTTACCTAATTATGAAGATGTGCGTGATTTTTTAAAAGTAGAAAATGATATGTGTTTTTATTTTAGTGAAAGATATAGATCTATACAATTAGATAAAACCTTATATGGGATACATGAAAAAAATAACCATAAATTATATACCACAAAAAATGTTTTTACTTATAATGAAATTATGAATAGTCTTAAAAAAGATAAACAGTGCATCATTTTTGTTTGTTCAAGAAATGAAACTAACAAAACTATAGAATTTTTAATTAGTCATGCTTTAAAAAATAATGAAATAGATTATTTTACTAATAATTTGTATATAGATAACAATATAGATAAGAGCATTAAAAAATCAAGTAATTCTTATATTAAAGAATTTTTTACTTATGGTTGTAGTGTTCATCATGCTGGAATGTCTAGATCAGATAAAATATTAGTAGAAAATTTATTTAAAAAAAAAGCAATCAATATTTTATGTTGCACATCTACATTAGCATGGGGTGTTAATTTGCCTGTTCATACAGTCATTATAAAAGGCACTAATTATTTTTCTTCAGAAAGTGGTAAGGTAGAAGATTTAGACATTTTAGATATTAATCAAATATTTGGAAGGTGTGGTAGACCTCAATATGAAAATCATGGAAATGCTATTTTAATAACTGAAAGAACTAAATTATATAAATACATTAAGTTATTAACAAATAATACAATTATTGAGTCAAATTTTTTAAAAAACATAGAAAACCATTTAAATGCAGAAATCAGCATAGGAACGGCAAAAAATGTAGAAGATGGTATAAAATGGTTAGAATATACTTACTTATATGTTCGTATGAAAAAAAATCCTTATATTTACGACGCAGATATAAACAATGATATTAATTTATATAACAAAAGAAAAGAAATAATCTTAAAAGCAGTTAATAATTTAAGTGAAAACAAATTAGTTAGAAGAGTTCTTTTAACTAATGATTTTATAGGGACATTTTATGGGAAAATTGCAGCAAAATACTATGTAGATTATAGAACTATAGGAATATTTGCAGAAAATATTAATAACAATGATTATGTAGAAATTATTGAAGTTATAAGTAAAGCAAAGGAATTTGAAAATATACAAATAAGAAATGAAGATATGAAAGATTTTTTATATTTAAAACAAAAATGTGATATTAAAGAAGATTATGATGAATCTAAATTTATGACGTTACGCATATTGATAGAAATATATTTAAGAAGATTGCAAATAAATAATTTTTCTATAATGTGTGAAATCAATTATATTATACAAAATATCATTAGAATATTATATGCCTATTATGAAATATGTCTAAATATTTTAAAAAATATATCTAATTTAATAATTAACACACATAATCTTATACTTGCTATATTAAGAAGACTTCCAATTAATTGTGGTATATTCAGACATTTTTGCTATAAAAATGAATTAATAGATAAAAAAAGGAAATATATCTCAAATCATGAACAATCGAATAATTCTCAAAATAAAGATGATTATTTAAATAAAATTATTGATAAAAGTTCTCAAATAAATTTATTAGATATCAAAGATGATTATGCACATTCAGGATATAAAAGAAATCAAAATTACACCATATATTTAAAAGAAGCAGCAGTAAATATATTAGAAAAAAAAAACTTAACTTATGAATCTATAGAAAATCTAAGTAGAAGTGAATTATTTTTTTTTGTAAGGAACGAAGTATATACTAATCAAATATTATATTATAAGAACATTATACCCAATTTATTAATAGATGGATACATTCAACCAATAACTCAAACAATTATGAAAATTAATTTAAATGTCCAATTAAAAAATACTATATGGTCAGATCAGTGGAATGATGTAAAAGAAGATTTTCATCTTTTTTTATTAAATACATTGAATGATGATATATTATACTTTCAGAAATTCTCTATTCATAAAAAAGACAGAAAAAAAATACATGATATATCTTTTGAGTTTCCATTATCAAATCAAATTCCTCCTCAAATAACAGTTCAATTTTTATCAATGAATTGGTGTAATTTATCATATGTTCATATATTTAATACAAATAATTTATTCATTAATCAAAAAATAAATATATTTTCAGAAATATTGTCAGTTGTTCCATTGTCTACACAAGTTTTAAAAATCCCTAATTATATCAAATTTTTTTCTTTTAAATATTTTAATCCTATACAAACTCAAATGTTTCATGCCACATTTCATACAGATGAAAATATTTTATTAGGTGCACCAACAGGTTAGAATATATATATATATATATATATATGTATATAAAATTAAAGAATATTTGCTAATATTGGTATATTTTTTTTTATAGGAAGTGGTAAAACGGTAATTGGTGAGTTGTGCATATTAAGAAATTTATTAAATTATGAAAATGAAAAATCTGTATATGTATGTCCTATGAAGGCTATTGTAAATGAACGATTTAAGAATTGGAAAAGTAAATTTAAACTTTTATTTAATAAAAATGTAATTGAATTAACAGGTGATAAAAATGAAAATAAAGAAAGTATAGCAAGTAGTAATATAATAATTTGCACACCAGAAAAATTAGATGTTATATCTAGAAACTGGAAACATAAAAAATATGTAAAAAATATCAATTTAATAATATTTGATGAAATACATTTGTTAGGGCAAGAAAATAGAGGAGGAGTTATTGAAATATTAGTGAATAGATTTAAAAATATGCAGAATGATTTAAAAAAAAAAATAAGATTAATTGGATTAACAACCGTTATAACAAGTGTTGATGATTTAATATTATGGCTAGATGTAAAGGAAAATTATCTGTTTAATTTTCCATCATCTTGTCGTATAGTACCTTGTAAAACACATGTTTTAGGTTTTACACAAAAAGCTTATTGTAATAGAATGTCGGTAATGAATAAAAATGTTTTTGATTCTATTAATCAATATGCACAATCTAAAAATGTTCTAATTTTTGTTTCATCAAGAAGACAAACAAGACTTACAGCTTATGATATTATTTCTTTGAATTTAAGTAGTCATAACTTAAATTTTTTACATGTTGAAAATTTATTAAATGACAAAAATCATATTAATTTTTTATTAAACAAAAATAATAAAAATGAAAAAAAAAGTAAAATTCATAAGAATGACAAAAAGAAAATTTTAAACTATAAAGAAGGTAAGTATAATCATATTACCGTTAATGAAAATATTCTGAACGGAAACTCATTTGATAATAATGTTCTTGATATTAAATATAAAGATATAGATATTTTTGATTATAATACCTTGTTAGATAAAAATTTATCAGAACAAGATAAAACGGATATTGGAGGTTTATTATTTCAAAATTATTTAAATGTGATAGAAGACAAGCATTTAAAAGAACTTTTAAAATATGGAATAGGGATTCATCACGCTGGATTAAATGAAAATGATAAAAGTATTGTAGAATACTTTTTTTTAAATAAAATTATACAAATATTAATATGCACATCTACTTTGGCATGGGGGATTAATTTACCAGCATATTTAGTTATTATTAAAGGAAATGAATATTACGATGCTAAAACAAAAAAATATAAAGATATTTCTTATACAGATTTATTACAGATGATTGGAAGAGCAGGAAGGCCTCAATTTGATGATAAGGCATTAGCTATTTTATTAGTTCAAGAAAAAAAAAAAAACGCAATAAAGAATTTTTTATATCATCCGATGAATATAGAATCAAATATATTAGAAAACTTGAACGAGTTTATTAATGCAGAAATATGTTCAAACGTTATTAATAATAAAGAAGATATGTTTAATTACTTAACTAAATCTTACTACTTTAAAAGATTATTTTCTAATCCTTCTTATTATATAAAAGATATACAGTATGTTCAATTATATGAAAATAACAAATTATCCTCTCAAGCGAAAAAAACAATATATGATCATTTAAATCAAATTATAGATAACACTATTAATTTCTTAGTAGAAAATAATTGTATAAATGTAATACAAGAAGATTATGATTCCAAATATTATTCTACTCCATTAGGTCATATAGCATCTATGTATTATATTAAATGTGAAACTGCTTATTTTTTTTATAAATCTATAGAACGTTCTTGCAATATAAATTCAGAAAAAAATAGTATTAATGATGCAACAGATACAGAAAATTCAAATACTCCTCAATGTTGTATTAGTGAAAATAATCTCCCAAATGTAATGGAAATAAATGATGAAGAAAAAGGGATCAAAGAAGATGAAATAAAATTTGTTAATAAGAAGAATGACAAATGTAATTTAAAAAAAGTTTTAGATTTTTATGATTTATTTGAATTGATTGCACAGGCAAAAGAATTCAAAGATATTCCATTAAGACACAATGAAGAAAAATACAATGTTAAATTACGAAATCAAATCCCTTTAGATATTGATATGAATATGCCTAATATAAAAACATATCTTTTATTACTTTCCTGCTTATATGAATGTTCTTTTGAATCAGTTGATTACAATATAGATTTAAAATTAGTACTTGATCAAATTGCTAGAGTAATAAATGGTTTCATTGATATTTGCTTATTATTTCATAAATATAGTTATATAAAAAATATAATTTTAATTTTTCAATGTATTAATCAAAAAATTATTCCTACAAAAAACTCATTATATACTATTAAGAATATAAATGAATATCAGATAAAAAAATTGAGAGAATTAAATATATATAATATAAAAGAACTAATTAAATTTGATAAAGAATTTATATATTCAATGAATATTTTTGATAAAAATCAATTAGATTATATTTTACAAATACCAGTATTTAATGTTAATATAAAATTATATGACAAAAATACTGAGGAAAAAGATAAAAAATATTTGTCTAATATACAATTTATGACCTATATTAAAAATGAAAATAAATTTTGTTATAAAATGAATTATTATGAATCAAATAAAATTGTCATTAAGATTTTTTTTAATTTTTTTAAAAAAGTAGAAAAAAATATAAATTCAGGTTCTTCATCTATTGGAAATATACAATGGTAACAATTTTTAAAAAAAAAATAATAAACAATTGGAAAATATTCATAAAATAAAAAAGAATCATGTATATATATATATATATATATATATATATATATATATTTCATCTTATAATAGAATATAAATTATTATTATTTTATTTCTAACAGGTATGTTATTCTTCATGATACTATACAAGATGAAGCAATTTCAATTAAAAGGGTTAACAATATTTCTTTAAAAAAATTGTCAAACGTTTTCTTCATGTAAAAAATTTAATAAATTTTTAGAATTATTATAAAAACCTTTATAATTATTTTCCTTGTTATTTTTATTAATAAGTATTTTGTTTTAGTATTTATAAATGGTTTTTTTGTTGATGTTTTTTTGTTTTATATTTTATTATTATTTTTATAAAAGTTTATATTAACTATTAATTTTTTTTTTTTTCTTTTTTTTTATAGTTTAGAAGATATTGAAAAAGGAACATATCATTTCACTATTTACATTCATAATGATACATATTATGGAATTGATGATGAAGTAATATAAAAAAAAAAATATGTATTTTTTTTTTACGTTATATATAAATAATATAAAATATTTCATAAAAAGATAATTCTAAACATTATATATAAATTATTTTATTTATTCAACGTGTGCAGGTATACTTAGAGCTTTCTGTTGAATAAATTAGTGGATTTAATTTAGTATTTTCTATATACTATTTGCTGTATGTTATTTTATATATGCTATTTGCTGTATGTTATTTTATATATACTATTTGCTGTATGTTATTTTATATATACTATTTGCTGTATGTTATTTTATATATACTATTTGCTGTATGTTATTTTCTATATGCTATTTACTATTTGCTATTTCCTACTTGCCATATGCTATTTGCTATGTGCTATTTTCTATTTCCTATTTGTTATTTATTATTTTTTTTTTTTTTTTATTTTTTTTTTTTTTTTTTTGTATTTCGAAAATACAAGAATTCTTATTAATTTATAATATTATCCTATTATTATATTTTTTTACTTGATTTTTCTCTTTTTATCATAATCACTATTATTATTATTATTATTATTATTATTATTATTATTATTATTATTATTATTATTATTATTATTATTATTATTATTATTATTATTATTATTACACTTTATTTGATTTTTTTTTTATTATTATTTAATAAGTTATATATAACAAAATGAATTTAGATTGGAAAGAAAATTTTGAAGAAATTGAAATAACTATAAGAAAGGAAAAAAACAATCGAGATGATCTTTTAAATTTTTTTCATGATGATTTTTTTTTTGAAAATTATTATTCTTTAAAATTAGACAATGTAAAAGATATTCTAATAACAGAAGTATACATTAGAATAGTTGATAAAAATAATACTTTCAATATAGATCTATATGACAAAATAAGCATTCATAAGGAGGATATAAAAATTAAAAAGCATGAAGATTTTTTAATTTTAAAATTAAAAAAGAAAGAAAAAAAGTTATGGGGGCATTTGCATTTTTTTTCTTTATTTATACATTATAAAAATAAATTTTATCCAAATTTATTGAAATGTACAAAAGAAGAAAAAAATAAATTATATGATAAAGAAAAAAAGTTTAAAACTTTAATAAATATGAGAAGAATAAAAAGTTTAGAGGAATTGAAAAAAATGATAAAAAAACAAAAAACACATAATGAGGAATTTTGTAGAAAATTGGAAGATGATGCCCAAAAAATGCAATGGAAATCAGAAGAATTAAAAAATGAACAATTAAAAATACTAAAAGAAAATGTTAAAAAAAAAGCTATTGATTCTATATATGAAGTGAATGAGCATTATGATATTAGTGAAGCTGATCAAAATAATAATATTAATGAAGTTGATCAAAACAATCAAGTTGATGAAACGAATAAAAATATGAATGAAACAAATAATAATTCTGTTTTAATAGGATATAATAATAATAATATTATAAAAAAAAATAATATATTATTAAATAGCAGAAATGTTAAAAATAGAGTAATAGAGTTAAAATTTACTGAATTAAAGAAAAGTGAAATTCCAGCTAGGGAAACGAGAAATTTAAAAAAAACATTATCAAATTATTCATCAACAAAAAATTTTTTCTTAATAATATTAATAGAAAAAGCGAAAAAAATGTTTTTTAAAAATTCGGATTTCTCAAGTTGTTTAGAAATATTAAATTCAATAACAACTTATATTTCAACAGGTTAAGACAAAAATTACATCAATGATAGAGGATATCATAATTTTATTATGATAATTTAAATAAAATTAATTATTTTAAAAATAATAATAAATTTATATGTAAGCAAGTAAATTTATAATCGGTCTTTTTATTATTGAAATGTTTATTACTGTTTATATTTTATCCTTTTTAATTTTTTTTTTTTTTTTTTTTTTTTTTTTTTTCATAGTTATTTTCTATTTTATTTTTTTATTTTTAGGTTACGAGCTTAATAGAGAAGAACTTATAAAAGTTTTAAATAATTTATCTCTATTATACCTATTAACAAATAATTTAAATAAATGTATAGAGGAATGTGATAAGTGCTTAAATATAATAAATGAAGAATTAAAAAATTATAGTAATGAAGAAATCAACATCCAGAATACTTTTTGTGAGAATCATTTTCCGAAAACATTAAATTTTTTAGAAGAAATTAAATCACAAAATTATGTTGAATATTTGTATATAATATATTCAATTGTAATTGTAAGAAAAATTTATGCTATGATAAAAAAAAATGATTTAAAAGGCATTGAAGAAAATTTTATTTGTATAGAAAAGGTCCAGAATTTTTTACCTAAATGTTTTTATGAAAGTATTAAAAAAGATGTTCACAACTTAAAGGTTTTCAATATAATAATTCCACTTCTTGAAAGCCATAGTTCAAGTAATACTTATATATATATATATATATATATGTAATAACTTTTTATATATTTGTGAATTTATATATACTTTCATGAAATTTTAGGTAGTAAAGAAATAAAAGAAAATTTATATAAATTAAATAATCAAATTTCAGAAGTAACCTATGATTTTTCTTTAAATTTCTATTTTGTTCTCAAAAGATCTTTTTATTTAAAAAATTTGAATTTCTTTTATAAAAATATTATAAATATTTTATTGTGTTTTTTTCATATTATAGATAAGCACAACAAAATGTATAGTCTTCTAAATAATATAGAACAATTTAGTTTAACAAAATTTTTGCTTAATATATATGAATTTGTTTTACTTTTGAAAAATAATAGTAGTTTTATGGAAAAAATTATAGAAATAGAAAAATTAAATAAAGTAACTGAAAATTCATTTATCCAAGAAAAAATAATAGACGTTTTAACTAACTATCTAATACAAGATCATGATAATGAATTTGAATTTTTTCAAAAACATAATTATACTTTAAAAAGAATAATCATTTTACTTTGTCATTCTAATAATGATGAAGAAAGGGATAAATTGGAAAAAGAAAAAAAAGAAAAAAATAAAAATGTAAGAAAAAATATTAGTGTAATTAATTTATCTTTTTCAGATATATTTTATAATAATTTATACAAGTTAAAGAAAAATAATAAAATAGTAAAGGATATTAATTGTTCTAATTTTTCAAAGAGTGAATTAAAGATAGAATTATTTGTAAATGAAGATTATTATAAAAATTTAAAAGATAGATGTGAATTATTAAAAATAGAATTATCTTTAGAAATTATAAAATTTATATGTTATACTTTTAATTTAATGCAAAGAATATATAAAGATAATATGGAAGAAAAAAAAATTATTAGAAACGTAATATTTAATTTATTAATAGATCTTTCTTATTGTATTAGTAATTTAAATAGTTCATATTTAAAAATTGAAAACATAGTTAGTGTCATTTTTCTATATTTTTGCTTTTCCTTTATTTATAATTTCGAAAATAATGAATTTCTTATTGATACACAATTAAAATCAGAATCAAAAATACATTTTCATATATTAACTTTAAATGATGTTGAAACAAATAGAAAGATATCTAAAGATACTATAAAAAATATTATCACAAAAACATTTTTAAATAACTTTTATGCAGAATATAAAAATTTTATAGACTTAAAAAAAAAAAAGGATGAATATATGAAAAATAGTCAGTATAACATAATGTTAAATAAAACTTGCTATTTAATAAAAAAAATAAAAAGTAATAATAAAAATCTAGAAATTGCATTAATCAATAATAAATATGTAGAGGAAATATTTAATTTTCTAATTTGTTTAAATAAAGAAAATTATTATTTAAAATCGATTCAATATAGTATATTACTGTTAAGTCATGATCTAAAATACTCAAATGTTTCTAAGTTTAATTTAAACTATATATATATAATAAAAAAAATTTTTAACATGTCCTTTTTTATTAAAAATAAAACATATGAAAACCAAACTATAAAAAACAATACAACTATCTTAAATCAAGAAAAGTTAAGAAAAATTTTATCATATTTTACTGATTCTTCTATTAAATTTAAAAATACAAAACGAGTTAATTTTACAAGATCACTAACAAATGGAAATGTAGAAAATAATTTAGTTTGTTATTTAGAAACTATCATAAAAAAATACAAAAAAATAAAAATATTCAGAAATATAAATTTTTGCCTAAAACAGATTAATGCAAACCGAACTATTATAATAAATATCCAAAATATTGTTAGCTTTAAATATATAAAATTTTTATAAATTTATATATATATATATATTCTCTTTTTTTTAGTGTATAATTCTTATTTAAATAAATTTTTTTTATATTTTTTATAATTTGTTATTTTTGCAATTTCTGATCAACTTTTTTTTTTTTTTTTTTTTTTTTTTTTGGTTATGAGAAGTCATTTCTCCATTTATTTCTTTATTTATAGTTTTACTCTAATTTATTTTTAATTTTTTTTTTTTTTTTACTTCAGATCATTAAGTATTTGGATAATCTTTTAATTGATTTTCATTTATTGAACTGCGTTCTTCAATTTAATAGATTGAATTTGTCATCTTATTTTTTTATTAATAAAAANATAAATTTTTTTTATATTTTTTATAATTTGTTATTTTTGCAATTTCTGATCAACTTTTTTTTTTTTTTTTTTTTTTTTTTTTTTGGTTATGAGAAGTCATTTCTCCATTTATTTCTTTATTTATAGTTTTACTCTAATTTATTTTTAATTTTTTTTTTTTTTTTACTTCAGATCATTAAGTATTTGGATAATCTTTTAATTGATTTTCATTTATTGAACTGCGTTCTTCAATTTAATAGATTGAATTTGTCATCTTATTTTTTTATTAATAAAAATATAATAGGTACACACATTTATTTTTAATACATATAAACATATATATATATATATTTAATATTTCAATATATATATTATGTTACTTTTTTTTTTTATAGAATTTAATGATTTAAATAGTAAAGTTATCTCAACAAATTGCAAAAACGTATTTAACAACAAACTTGAGATTAAAAATATTGTAAATTATTACTTTATAAAATATTTAAAAGTTAAAATTATAATCCTAAATAATAAATATTACCTTTGATATATAATTTACTTTTTTCATTTAGAAAAAAAAAAAAAAGTTTTATATATATGATAGAGCTTTCTTTTATTACGAATTTTTTATCTTCATTTCTTTAATAGCAAAATAATTTTCATTATATAAAAAACTGAAAAATTCTTCAAAAGATTATAATTCATATGATTAATTTTTTTTTTTTTTTTTTGTTCATATTCATATATATTTTTTTTTTTTTTTTTTTTTTTTTTTTTGCAATAAATTGTAATAAAAAGTTATAAAAAATTTTTAGTAACTAAATTATTTAAAATAAAAAAGGCTAAAAACATATATATAAAAAAAAAAAGAAGGATCTTATTTTATTATATTTTTAAATATATTATTTTTATTATAATTTTGATTTTTTTTTTTTTTTTTTTATTATATTTAAATTTAAGGTTACAAGAATACATTATATGACTTGTTAAATAATTTAAAACATTATATTTTTTTTTATGTTTTAATTTAAATAATGGAGAAAAAATAATCAATTTTTATTTTGTAACATTTAAGTAAAAATGTAAAAATTAATATTATATTAATTTATTTTTAGTAAATAGCCAAATATATATATATATTTATGTATATATATATATATATATATGTATATAAATTTAGATGTAAAAACATTCACATTAGGTTTTACTAATTTTATGAAAAAGAAAATAAGGATATTTATTACACACATAAGTATATTTTATATTTTCAATAAAGAAACAAAAAAATCTTCAATTACAAAATAAAGAAAACTGAAGAAATATTTATTTCATAATAATTCTTTATTTATTACAAATAAGAGATTTTATTAGAAAATGAATAATAAAAAAAAAATTAAAAAAAAAAGAAATATATTAAATTTTGTAAAATTAATAGTATAAAAACAAAAAAAAAAAAAAAAAAAAAAAAAAAAAAAAA